GGTACAGAGGAATAACACCTGAGTCCTAAGGAATGGCAACGCATGGGGCGCTATCATGGGCGAAACAGTATATTCTGTCCATGGCACTGCTCATGTCTATACGCGACGGTTATCACTTTCAATCAGGTGGGCCGTCAGCTTGTTTACCATTCTATGTTGCATAAAAACTATATTTAATTCGAGGCGTAAATTTGATATATTTACTCACACAGTGATCTGAGGATCGCTAAACAAAATTTATGTGAATATTTCATTTATCTTTTTTTTATACCATTGAGGTAGCAAATAAGCATACGGCCCACTTGATGGTAAGCGGTTACCGTAGCTTATGAACGCCTGCAATACCAGGAGCATACAACAATACAACGCGCGCGTTGCCGTCCCTGAAGAGACCTCTTTATCTACCATATATCTATTTTTTTATATTCATAATTTTGTATATTTTATTACATTTGGGTTTTCAGAGATATATTTTAATTAAATATTCACTAAGTTTACCATAGGTAGGTAGGAGAACAGTAAGAAGTTGCTTATGCAGATAAGCAAAATACAGGCGCTTCGCAATTAATTATTCACGGTCATTAATAAGTACCAGGCGAGCAGAACTCGACCGGAGCAAACTTCGTATCTGCTTCCGCTAACTACTAAAAGATGGTAATGAAGCGCACTCACCTTTATATACCTGTCCCTTTTGAACATTAAATCATCGCATCTAGCCGTTTCACTCGCCGCGGCTGTCACAGCCACAACGGCCGATCCAGACGGTGACAAGAAATTAATTAGGGGAAGCTCGGGAAAATAATGGTGTGCCGTGATTTTTAAATGAAATTTATTTTCTCCACTTCATTTATTTCTCGGCGACATGACACTTCGGAAATTATTAGACTTTAGGAGGGCCTCCGTTTCCGTAGGTAAGGTTTCAACTTGTTTACCTTTGACAAGATGTAATTTATTTTTCTTTTTTTATACTTTTATTTTTCTTTAGCACTTTATTTACTTTAATGTTTAATGTTGTCACGTTATGAAATGCTACGTTTCCAATTATATTTTAAATTGAATTTGTATTAAATTTTCGCCACCTTATTTGTAGGCCTGTATTTTTTTAATTTACGAATTCTTCTAGGCTAAACATTATATTAATTAATTAATTATATAATAAATAGATTTTATTTTAAATTAAATTCAAATTAACGTGATCGCGCTATCTAGTTATTTTCTGTTCCCTTGAGAATATCAGTGGGAAATGTAACCTATATTAGATATTCAAAGCTAATGTAGTTTTATATTTTGTGAAAAATTTTCGAGAATAATTTTATTAGGTAATTATGGAGCTATGTACCATATAATAATTATAATAAAAAGAGTGTATCATTTTATTATATTTATTTTAAGATTTTAAATCGACTTGTGCAATATTTTAATGGTAGCTATAACCGTTTTCTGTACCATGATGTATCTAATTATTTATAATATTCTAAATCTATATAAATAAAAATCAATTGCAAAATGTATATATGCGCATTACGTAAAAATTGCTGCACCTTTTTGCTTAATATTTTTTGTTGTATTTTTAAAAATTTGGTTTCATTTTCTTAGTATGCGAAACGGGGGCGGACAGTTAGTAATAAATAAATAAATAATAAAAAAAAATTCTACAATTTGAATGTAGTATAATTAAATATCCGATCCAAAATATTCATGTTTTCAATTGTAAAATGGTATATTTGATTTTAAAGTTCGTTTAAATTTAAAATTATATCAAATGGCAACAATGAATACAATAACTAAATCCTTTCTCTTATGCCATCTCTTTACTTATGATATTTCAAACAAATTTTCAATCCAAATTTCATGTATTTAAATGTACGTATCTTTAGAAAAAGAAGGTGTGAAGATGAAATGAATGAAAAATAACGCCTACCTGTTTATATGAAGTGGTTCTTAAAGCGTTATTTTTCTATATCTGAAAATAGTATGTTTTAAAGATCTAAAGACGCGTCAAAGCGGAGTGTGTGAGTGAAATCATTAATCTTCAAGTAGCGGTAAGCTCGCTACACGTGTTTGAACTATGAATTGCCCAAAAAATTTTGTTGGTGAACCGTCAAAGTGATGACAAGAGTCGATATTTCTAACATCATTCATGAATTCTCGTTATTGAAAAAATGAACTCAATTTATAGGCGTATAAGACTCATAACGCTTTATAACACAACTTTATTTCAACTTCTTACATTCTTAAATAATATTTTGATGTGATGAAAGTGAAAGAGTTTGATGGCTACTGTCAAAAATGCTATTAATATTAGTTCATTTTGTTTACAAACCGTTTCAAATTTATATTTTGACACTATATATAAATGTGACCTGTTTTACCTACGCTCACTCAAAATTTTTAAATAAAGAATTGCCACTAAAACTTATAACTGGGAATATTTGTTAAGATATTTGGACGTTTGTTGCACAACGTCCCCAGGAAACAGTAACGCATGAGTTGTACTATGGGCGCCACAGTGTATTTTGTAATGTCCGTGTTTCTGTTCCTGTTTATACGTGACGGTTAACGTATCTATTATCTTGTTTGTCAATCCAAGTTCCATTAAGATAACGTCTGGACACTTATGAATGAAATTGTTTACAAAGACAGATCTCTTTGATTAACATTTTTTATTGTGCGTACACTACCTCCTGATAACCAATGCTCGTTTCTATTCAGGGTTTGCTGGACGAGAACTTTTACAGAATTAAGCTCGTCGGTTGTACATTTTTGATTAAAAAAATTTTTTAATGGGTGATAATGGAATGATAACCCCGGCTGCGCTATCAGTGTACACTGACGGGGCACCAGTGAGTGATGACAGATGAGGATGAAGCAGATCAGTCAGCCCATCATGACGAATTCAATAAGAATTTGCCACGATGATTTCCAGGGGGAACCACGTGGAGGTCGACCTAATAGGGTATATTGTTAGCAATGGGCCAGTTAGACCCCATTACTAACAATCCCTTTCCCCTAAAATTAAACTAATTGTATATGCCCATTATCAATCACTATTTAATATTTTAAACCAAATTAATAAATGAAAAATATCATTAGAAATGACTACCCTAGTCAGAGGTAGTCGATCACATTCAAGTATTTAAGTGACAAATATTTGCGCTACTTACCTATTTTTTTTTTTGATGAGTGAAAATGCTATTGTAGCCCCGCCTGCGCTAACGGGATACGCTGGCGGAGCACCAGTGAAGGGTGATAGATGAGAATGAAAACAGGCCAGTTAGCCCATCATGATGAATTCATCAAAAAAAATTAACCATGATAGTTTCCAGAGAACCGCGAGGACTACGACCTGGTTGGGTATATTGCTAGCAATGGGATTCTAAGTGATAAATATTTGCCCCCCGCTACTTACCTATTAGGTATGCCAATTTTTTGTTTACTAAATAAAACATTTTTAAGTTTTCTTTTAAATATATATTTAATATTAGATAACTTATAATGGTATGGTGTGATAATATCATTTCTATGATCCCTCAATTTTTTTATAGTCATTCAATGAAATCACAATTTTTATACATTTCACATTAATTATGCATTGCCACGTGACAGATTCTGTGTGTGAACACATGAAATCCATTGTTTTTATAGTGATATAAAAACAATGGATTTCGAAGCGCAGTGCCGATGAAAGTAATTTATTTTATCAAATAAACTTCAACTATTAACGACACGAACGTAATTATATAATTATAACGAATTGGATAATATCGTAACAAAAGGATAATGAGATTGTATCACGAAATGATATGTTAAGCTGCGACCAAACATATGTATTTTGTAGTGTAATGTAATGTAACGTAGCAGAGAGAGACGTTGTACGAAGTAACATTTATACATTACATATTTATGCTACTAAACCATTTGTTTGCACGTTTAATTCTGCTTTGAAGGGTAGAATGTTTTTGTAGATGATATGCTAATGAAAATATTAAATATTATGCCGGAATGATGGCAACAGAATGTTGTCATCCTACAATAAAGTCGTAAACGTTGACCATGATATCGACATCTTTGGTAATTCTTTAGTGCAGTTTACTAGGCTTATTAATAATATGGATTGGTAATTGGTCTTCTCTAATTGTATAATTGTTAGTTAGTATACATTGACGCTTATCTGTGAGAGCTGCATACACCTTTAATTGATGTATTCATATGGCCTTAAGTTTGGTAGGGAGGAGTGAGATGTTTTTGTTCAAAAAAACTTAGATTTAAGTATTTTTTAATAGTAATTTTTCACTTTTTACTTACTTATAATATTGCACATTGTCTGCTTAATTGTTGTGAGCATATTGTTGGTGTGACTTTTATAAATAAATAAGTAATAAAATTACTGGGTACTGAATACAGGTTATCATATCACAACGATTGTTAATACCAGAAAGATCCCTCTAGTGTTGCTAATATTGGTTGGCTGTGGCCAATGCAATCAAAGAAATCATCATCATCATCTTCCTACCCTTATCCCAATTATTATTAGGGGTTAGCGTAATATGGTTTTATCCATATTACAAAAAGGGATCATTATAATTTATTGTTATTTTGTAAATTCTGTGTATATATGTCTCTAAATTCTATGTATGTAACGTTGCTAGCGTTACATGTTACTTTTGCGTTATTTTATTCTTTTTTACGTAAAAATGTGTGATCACAGGCCATGTTTACGTTATGTATGTCGTATTACACAGACACTACAAGAGCAATGATGTCACAATACAACTAAATAGTTGATATTCAGAATAACAAAACAGATCAGCAATAGAAACATCATCCTTGTCATATCAGCTGTTAACCGTCCACTGCTGAATATAGGCCTGAGCTATGTGTAATATAATGTATACTATAATATTACACTGTAAATTACATTACACATGTCTGGACGCAGCATAACTTTTCCAATTTGTACCGATATCACTGATTCAGATTATTCAGATACAGTTGTTGCACTTCACGGGCGTTTACAATTTTCCAAATAAATCCTAAATTTTTTTTATTAAAATTTTATAATTTATTACTTTCCTTTAACATTTTTTAATTTAGAAATCCTTTTCGAATTGGACTGCTTGATTTCTAAAACACTCTTTATAAAATAATATTTCGCATTAACATAACATTATTTCCCTTTCAACTTTTTAATGCGATTTTGTCTGATTTTTTACTTTTAATTAATATTTTGAGAAATAAAAACAATTTAGTTTTTCAATTAAGTAATTTTGTATGAAAAGGATAGAAAGTTGCTTTTAAGAAAATGTTTTCTGAGCGCACCTTTCAAGCGCAAATCATCCAAAATGAATTTCAACAATCACTCCACGCCAAGGATCTTGAGCCTGGTACAAACACTCGTGGTAACATCATCAAGAGAAAAATGAAAGACTACTTCACGCTATTCCTGGAGACTTCATCGATACATGGGTTGAACCACTTGGTTGCATCCAAAAGGCATCCTTTTGAAGTGTAAGTATTTTTTCAATTTATTTGGGTTGGATGTGTTTTATGTACCTATAATAAGCAGCTAGGTACTTGTTTTTCAAAAAATTGGCTGAGCATCAGTTGTTTAGTACCCGTAGAACAGGTTCTCTTAGTATAGGAATTGACCCGGAAAGTGGTAACCGTCGCCTATAGACATGAGCAGTACTATGGACATAACAGAGTATACTGTTTCGCCCATGATACCCCCCATGCGTTGCCATTCCTGAGGACTCAGGTGTTATTCCTCTGTACCCAGTAAATTCACACCATATCCCACCTTTCAAACCGAAACACAGCCATGCAAACACAATTGCTTCACGGTTGAAAAACGAATGTGACAGAGGTACCAAAGCAATCGACTTTTGTACAAAGTCTCCCTCTGGTGAGTAGGAGGTAAGGCACTATAAGGTAATAAACAAACAAGCAATCATACTTTCAAATTAATAAAATTAATAAGGATGTATTAGTAGAATTACTATGTACTTTATCTTTGACAGTCTTCTCTGGCTCACCATTGTAGCACTCTCAGTATTCGGGGCACTGTACTTGTCCCGGGCTACGTGGACCCGCTACCAGTCCTCGCCCACCGTCTTGTCCATGGACCGAGATATGTTCGCCTGGAATACCACCTTCCCGTGTGTCACCATCTGCCCGAACTCTAAGCTGGATGCGAAGAAACTCCGCGCTTATGTACAGTAAATTTCGAAAACAATTTTGTTTATTTTATTTCTAAAATGTTTAAAATTCGTTCGTATTTTTTTTTTATGTTACGCTTTATCTCTGCCTTAAGCTAATTTTCAGCCGATAAAGATGGAGGTTTCTAAATCGGTTATATTATTTTTTATATTTGTTACCTCATAACTCCGTCAGTTCTATACCGATTTTGAAAATTTGTTTTTTAACTGAAAGGATATAATTATAGATTAGTCATAGGAATTTTATCAAAACCGAAATAGTAGTTTAGTTTTGAGATCAAAATAACCGATTTTGGAGCGGTTTTTGCTTAGTCGCCTCTTAAAACACCCATGCGAAAGGATATGATAGCCTATTGTATGCTACGACTGCGCAGCGAAATTACATCACCATCTTCTTCATTTCAGCCTTTAACTGTCCACTGCTGAACATAAGATTCCCTCTTGGAGGATTTTGCCAGTAGCTGCCACGCTTGGCAAGTGGGTTGGCAACCACAATTAGGATTTAGAGATATTTTAAGAAGGACGCTGCAGCACATCCCTCGCTCTCCTTAGTCCCCTCTTACGACATCCACAAAGGAAGGGGTGGCCCATTTTATGTTGGAATCACACAGCCAAATTTATTGTACATATAATAAGTAAATTTTGCGGAACAGACTAACAATCTTAGAAGAGTTAATTCTATGATTACAGAAGTTCATCAGAGCCGGATAAGGAAACGCTAACAAAATTCATCATCGGCATTTCCAACGCTACGTACGAAACTTTCGACACCATACCCGTATATGATGGGATACCAGCTGACAAATACGTGGAGCTGGTACTCAATTTGTCAGCGAGCTTCAAGCCCACTCTCACTATAGGAGCTACGGGCATAAGTCTCAATATAATACCGACTATAACCGAGATGGGGCTGTGCTACGCTGTGAATTCAAAAGTTGCTATTTACAACTCCCCTGCGTAAGTTATATACCATTTTTTTTTTATACAACTTAGAATGGCAAACAAGCTGGCGGCTCACCTGATGGAAAGTGGTAACCGTCGCCTATAGACATAAGCAGTACCAAGGACATAACAGAGTATACTGTTTCGCCCATGATACCCCCCATGCGTTGCCATTCCTGAGGACTCTGGTGTTATTCCTCTGTACCCTGTAAATTCACGCCATTGTTTATGTAAGGCGGGAATCAAGGATCTATTTAATTTGTTTTCATGTAATAACTACTGGTTTAACTTACGTGTAATTAGATCAAGAAAGCTCGACTAGTTTCGGGATCAATTCGTGATCCGTAATCGTCAGTGACTATGTCGCGAGTAGACGCTTGCGGCATCGTCCCAGATAAGAAAGACGGCGTTCGGAACTCTTCGGGTATGACCGACTGGGCTTCGTAGTGTTCCTCTTCGTCTCGCAAACGTAACGTTTTGTAACATTGCCTGCTCTGTTGGTTTACAATATTGGGGTACCAGTGAGAAAGGATAGATGAGGATGAAAGCAGGTCAGTTGATCCATTGTGAAAAAATTAACAAAATTTAATCATGATGGTTGCCAAGGAGAACCGCTCGGAGGCCGACCTGATAATATATAATGGGACTGTAATACCCTATTACTGAGAATCTCTTTCCCTCCGAATTGTTCTGGTGTGGTGGGTTTTTGAATTAAAAATTATTTAGAGGGAGATTTTGTATAAAAGTCGTTTTCTTGGGTACCTTCGTCCCATTCGTGTTTTTACTATAAAACAGTTGTGTTTGCATGGCTGTGTTTTGATTTGAAGGGTGGGATATGGCAGTGAATTTATAGGGTACAGAGGAAATGCCTTAGTCCTCAGGAATGCCAACGCATGCAAGGTATCGTGGGCGAAATAGTATACTCTGTTATGTCCACGGTGCTGCTTACGGCGACGGTTACCACTTTCCATCAGGTGGGCCGTTAGCTTATTTGCTATTCTAAGTGGCATAAAAAACTCTTTAATATTAGTTACAGGGCAGCCAACAGATGGGACAGAGTGGTTGTACATAACAGCACTTTCTATATCCATCCGCTAGATGGCGAAGTTTTCGCACAAGTTATAAACTTGTCTACCTCTTACGACGTAAGTTTCAAAAACAATTAGTTTCAGGTTCCAACTCACTATCCCTACACTTCAGCACATGCTCCAGATGTCTGTGAATTATTTACATAGTTATTTTTCTGCCACAGCGGCGTCCAATAGACAAATACTCTTCTGAATCAAAACATATGTTGTCATATAAAATTTATAAGATATAATGAATTATAGCAGTGATATAGCAGTGTGGTCCCGGCATAGAATGGGCCACCACTTCCATTGCCGTGTCGTAAGAGGCGACAAGGGAACTTAATAGTAGGGGGATGAGCGAGATGAGAGTCTAACTACGGTTGCCAACCCGGCTGATATGCATATTACCCCCCCCCCCCCTCCCCCCTAGAGGAAACCTGTGTTCAGCAGTGGACAATAAATGAGTGATATGATGATGATGATATTACAGGATATGAAAATGATCGTAGTTCTCAAGAATGGCCATCATGGGCGTTATAGTATATTTTGTGATATCCATGGTACTGCTTGTAGGCAATGGTTACCATTTTCTATCAAGCGAGCTGTCAAAAAAGAAAATAATGGACTAATTGTAGTGATCAGGTAGACTGTGCGCCATTTGAAGGATGTAAGTCTCTGGAACTGGCGTGTACTAGTATGCATGAGCCGATTTATGAAAGCGGTTGAAGTAAGAAAAAGATCTTATACTTACATAGATGTATAAATTCCTTTTCTTATACCATAGAGGTTGCAAACAAGCATATGGTCTACCTGATGGTAAGCGATTACCATAGCTTATAAAAGTCTACAGTACCAGGGGTATTACGCGCGCATTGTCGACCCTGAAGAAACCTCTTTACTTACCTTTAGAAGAACCCCATGCTGTAGTCTCTTGGAAAAACCTCGGCAGGAAGCTCATTCCATAACACGAGTGTTCGTGGAAGGAGACATCTCTGAAACCGCGTTGTACGCAACCATTTAGGCTCTAAGGTATGAGATTTCCTGTCGATGGCGAGCCGTACGATGGTAGAAAGTGGCCCTGGGCATCATATTGAACAATTTCTCTGAGCACCTCTGCTACTGGCTTCCCAATATTCAGTTTTCTCTATAAGATATTAGGCATTTACCTAATCTATGCAGGTGTACCTCCACGGACCTCTGGAAGTGCCAGATATATCGACCAGGCACCAGCACTCTGCTGAAGACTTCTACATGAAGCTCTACGTCACAGCATTGACTGTGTATACGTCTTCAGAGGCTGCTAAGTATTTTGTTCATTACGCATTATATATATTCTCTTTTTATACATATATTTTTTTTAAAACACAAAGGACAAACGATGGTACGGCTTATTTAATGTTAAAAACCTTTCGCCGCTCATAAGCACCCGCTACATTAGAAAATTTTTGCTCCGTAATATGCAATTATTTGCTCTATGAAGATACATAGTAGTTTCAATCGTCACAAAGTTAGAAAAGGACTAATGCTAAAGTTATTATTATTATTAAAATATATCTATATTCTGCAGTGTTTCTCGCGTATATCAGTACATATACTAGAGGGAGACTTTGTACAAAAGTCGATTGCTTGGGTACCTCTGTCACATTCGTGTTTCAACCGTGAAGCAGTTGTGTTTGCATGGCTGTGTTTCGGTTTGAAGGGTGGGATATGGCGTGAATTTACTGGGTACAGAGGAATAACACCTGAGTCCTCAGGAATGGCAACGCATGGGGGTATCATGGGCGAAACAGTATACTCTGTTATGTCCATGGTACTGCTCATGTTTATAGGCGACGGTTACCATTTTCCATCAGGTGGGCCGTCAGCTTGTTTGCCATTCTAAGTTGTATAAAAAAAAATATAAAATATTCTATGTGCTAAACTAGGATATAATCTATCAGTGTATCATCATTCCAATTCATTAAGTAGTTTTTGCATGAAAGAGTAATAAATATCCACCTATACAACCATCTTTACAAACATTTGCATTTATATGATTAAGAGGATTTAGTTTTATATATATATATATATATATATATATATATTTATTTATTTATTCTTTTGGTTTGGTCATTTGGAGAGGATGGATGAAAGAAGAATTACGAAAGAGATTTATCGAGCAAGAATGAATGGAGATGTCGGTAGGGGTCGCCCTAGACGGACGTATGTCGACCAAATAGGCGAAGTGCTGAAGAAGGGACAAATTAAAAGTACCCGTAACCGGCGAGCATGTATGAAAAGATTAAAGAATGTGGAAGAAGCGAAAGAGGTTTGTTTGAATCGAAGCATTTGGCGTTCCATTGTTTCTGCCTACCCTAATGGGAGATAGGCGTGACAGATATGTATGTATGTATTATTCTTTATTACGCTTAAATAATAGATACAGCGATTAGTTTAACAACTTGTTACCAAAGGAGGGTTTATCTCTAAAAGAGATCTTTTCCAGCCAACCCAGTATAGTTAGAGCTAAAATAATTAACTGGCGGGTAATCTAGTGCAGGAAAGGTACAGATAAAAATTTATCATATGTTTATAAATTTTTATTTCAGTTGATATTTTAATTGCTTCCACTTACTTTGAATACAGACTAAGCGTTGCTCAGAGACGCTGCCGCTTTCTCCACGAGAACATCTTGCAGCACAATTCTGTGTACACTTACACCATGTGCCGCATGGAGTGCCGGATACGACTCTGTCTCAAGTATTGCAAATGCATACCGCACTTTTATAGGAGAATTGGTAAGTTCCTTGTCGAAGCGGCCCCAAACGCTCTCGCATGAGATAGCATTTTTTTTTACAACACAGGGTGTGCATAGAATGGGCCAACCGTTACTTTCCCATAAGTGTTATAAGATACGACACGACAACATAACCTTCAAGAAAAGAGTACATTCCTTTTTAAAAGGCCGGCAGCACACCTGCAATGCTGCTGGTGTTGTGGGTGATAATGGGCGGCCGTAGTCACTTACCATCAGGTGAGCCGCATGCTCGTTTGCCCCCCGTGTAGTAAAAAAAAAAGATGCGACTGAGGGAACTTCGATGAAATCGACGGATGTGCAGCAGCGTCCCTATTAAAACATCACCAACGCATAACTGTCCCTCTTATGGGCGAGGCCTACGTCCAGCAGTGGACAGTTAGTCGCTGATATAATGATGATGATGATATAAAATCTGTATTGTTGTTTCGAACCATAATTTTACCTAGTTGCATTGTGGCATCATTGCTCTTGTACTGTTCGCAGGCGACGAGAAAACGTGTGATATCAGAGGTCTACATTGTTTATACCAGTATAAAGGTATGGTACCAAGTTTTAATTATTTTAATCAATTAATTAATTCCGAATCTATTAGAAACAGTTCGACACCAAAAGGCAGTTTACTCTTATACCTTAGAGTCTGGATAGTAGCGTACAATGTGGTTTTAGAGATGTTTCCTCCTGCGAATAAATGAGGTTCCTGTCGAAGTTTTTTAAACAATGTGATTCTTTAAGAAAGAAAGAAAGAGGTTTCTTCAAGGGTGGGCAACGCGTGCGTAATGCCCCTGGTATTGCAGGCGTTCATAGGCTACGGTAACAGCTTACCATCAGGCGGGCCGTATGTCTGTTTGCCGTCTCTGTGGTATAAAAAAATAGACTGACTGAATGCACTTATACTTTTTTTTAGGTTGTCGTTTGTAGTAACCCTTAACCACCTATATTTATTTGACTCCCCAAAATTAAGAGTGGGTAATACAGTAATATCTCTATATATTTTTTATGCAACTTCAAATGGCAAACAAGCTGACGGTTCACTTGATAGAAAATGGTAACCGTCGCCTATAAACATGAACAGTACCATGGACATAACAGAGTATATTGTTTCGCCCATGATACCCCCCATGCGTTGCCATTCTTGAGGACTCAGATGATATTCCTCTGTACCCAGTAAAGTCACGCCATATCCTACCCTTCAAACCGAAATACAGCTATGCAAACACAACTGCTTCACGGTTGAAACACGAATGGGACAGAGGTATCCAAACAATCGCAAGCAAGTGAGGGGTCGGTCTACATCGAGTTTGCTTGTGCAAAGTCGTAAACACAGGGTACTATATACTATATTACTATATAATATTGCTTTATATACAGAATAATATTTTTATATATTTCAGACGAGCTGTATAAACTACAAGATAAATCAGGAAAGAAAATCAACTGCGGCTGCTTTCCAATATGCGACGATGTCAACTATGTTATACAATCCAATGTGAGTTATTAAAATAAAAAAAAATACTAGACAAAAAAGCTACTAACTTCTTATTGGTTACTACGGTGATATCATCATCATCATCATCATCATCATCATCATCATCATCTAATCAGCCATTAATCGTCCACTACTGAATATAGGCATCCCCCTACAGGGGGTGTTTGCCTGTAGTTTCCACGCTTGGCTGGCGCATTGGCGTTATTACGCTTAGGTGATGGTATTAGCAAGGATGCTGCTGCCCATCCTTTGACAATTAATGTCTCTCAGTCGCCTCTTACGACATTCACGGGAAAGGAAGGGGTGGTCTATTCTATGCCGGGACCGTATGGCGACTTTGCGTTTAAGAATCATAGTATTCTAATTTAATACATTCGGTACTAATTATGTTTTTACGACAGCCATAGAATAAAGATAGATAGATACTCTTTATTGTTTCCTCCAAAAGATTACAATAGTAAACTTATTATAAATATAAATAATTACAAGAAATAATCACAATGAGAAAACAATGGGCGACCTTATCGCTAAGAGCGATCTCTTCCAGGCAACCTTTGGATGGAGAGGAGTAATTATAAACAATTATAAAGAATATACTCTTTTTTTATACCACTTAGAATGGCAAACAAGTTGATGGTCCACCTGATGGAAGTGGTAACCGTCGCCTGTAGACATAAGCAGTACCATGGACATAACAGAGTATACTGTTTCGCCCATGATACCCCCCATGCGTTGCCATTCCTGAGGATTCAGGTGTTATTCCTCTGTACCCAGTAAATTCACGCCATATCCCACCCTTCGAAGCGAAACACAGCCATGCAAATACAACTGCTTCACGGTTTAAACACGAATGGGACAGAGGTACCCAAGCAATCGACTTTTGTACAAAGTTTCCCTCTCGTAAATAAATAAATAAAAAAAAAATATATAAAAAAAAAATACTTACCTAGTATTTTTTTTTGATGGGTGAAAATGGTGTGATAACCATTTACCCCGCCTGCGCTAACGTGATATGCTGGCGGAGCACCAGTGAAGGGTGATAGATGAGAATGAAAACAGGCCAGTTAGCCCATCATGATGAATTCATCAGGAATTAACCATGATAGTTTCCAAAGGGAACCACAAGGAGGTCGACCTGGTTGAGTATATTGCTAGCAATGGGATTTTTAGTCTCCATTACTAACAATCCCTTTCCCCCAACTTACCTAGTATTAAATAATACTAACCTACCACTCATATTTGTTAATACAATAGGTACTACAAGAATGGTTCCTGGGAACCAATCTGCAGTGGGGTATCGTAACCTATCCGAGGATGAGGTACAGACGCGACATTATCTTCGGCTTCACAGATGTACTGGGTAATATATCTATGCTATTTTTTTATTATTATTTTAACTGTCCACTGCTGGACATAAGCTTTCTCCATAAGGAGAGTTTTGCCAGTAGTTGCCACGCTTGGCAGTCGGGTTGGCAACCGCAGTTAGGTTTATATAGATGTTTTAAGAGTGACACTGCTGTCCATTCTTCGCCCTGTTATTCGCTTTCTCTAAAAATTTGAAAAATAAATATATAAATACTTTCTATTGAGAGGTTTCTCAATTAAAGCCATTATTTTGAAAATTTGAAAATGAATTTCACTTGTAGAAAGGTAACAACGTCAGTAAATAATTACTGTATTTATTTTTTTAAATATTAGTCATTTATATATATGTATGCACTCTTGTAAAACCGGGGAATGCCCGGTTTTACAAGAGTACATACATACACAATCTAGTTGTGCAATAAATAAATTTTTCCCTGTAAGTACACAGTAAAATCCACAATTTTTATACTTTTTAGTGGCCGTCGGCGGCATGGCGGGCTTGTTCCTCGGCTGCAGTGTCCTCAGCTTCATGGAGATTGTTTATTTTCTAACATTACGGCTGATTTGTTACACGCACAGATCTGCATCAAAGTAGTAAATTACTATGTTGTAACCACCTACTATGTTCTAGTCACTTACTATGTTGTAGTCAATCACTGTGTTGCAGCCACTCACTATATTGTAGTCACCCACTGTTGTACTCACTATGTTGTAATTACCTACTATGTTAAAGTCACTCTCTATGTTGTAATCACTGACTATGTTTAATTACAAATATATATTATGTTGGGATATTAAATTATGATCTTTTATATTGTCAATACTTATTTACATGAATCCTTTTTAATATTATAAACTAGTTGTTACTAACGACTTAATCTGAGTGATCGGGATATAATGATTGATTTACATTCACACCCTTACTAAAGTAAAAGTGAGTTTGTTTGTTTGTTACTTCTTGGGGCTTTAACGAATCCACCAATAATTATGAAATTTGATACACAAGTAATATTTGAGATAGAGAAGAATTCAAACTTCTTTATATGGCCGTTAACCAGTATATTTTGGTCATTCGAACGAAATTCTGGTAAATACTAGTGTACCTTCAGTAGAAGAAATTTATTTAAAAATTATTTAATTTTTTAAATTTTGGCGTTAATGACGCATAGTTTACATTTACATACACAATCGGGACTTAACGTCTTGGTTATCCTGTCGTGACCACGACGTGGTCCAATCCACGTCGAAACGTCGCCAATAAAGAAGCAGCCATGTAGGTACTGTTTACCTGCAAAGATTTTTATCGTGTTCAGTCTTGATAGAGTATTTAAAATAAAACATTTTCCATTACTAGTTTTTACTCGCGACTTCGTCCGTAGGACCAGAATATGTTCATTATGTGGGATAAAAAAGTTTTTCCTTTGTCTTTCTCCATTCCATATAGTATCCAAATTTCATAGTGATTGTTTTAAGCTGTTAAGATGCTAAGTGATAAAAAAAAACAAACAAATATATTTTCACATTTACAATATTAGTAAGGATTATCACAAAGTTAAAACGGATTTAACTAGTATGTTAAGTTATCTGACTAAACAAAACAGGGTAAACACCGTTCGCCAGACATTATTTTAATAATGCAGATGTTTGTGAAACTATACCGTCAGTAAATTGATACACATCGGGTCTAAATGACCCTATAGCTTCAGGTAAATTTAATTTAAGGTTAGGATAATTGCCGGCGACGTACGTTGGGTTATATTAACACATCGTAAATTCAACCCTTAAGCACCTTGCTAATAATTAAGGTCGTTGGGACCCTTTTGAAATTGTTCGCCCAATTTAGCGATTCACCTCCAATTGTGGATGGGATATGTTATGTGGGGACATCTTTACAAAGTGGTACCTATTTTGCGGAGTGTCCCAAATATTAGCCAGTGATCGAGGGTTAATAGTGTTGGACAGCAAATGGAATTATTGGTTTGTGAATAAAAGCTAGTGTTATTTATTTTGTTTTATTATTAATGTGTATAACCCTTATTATTAATTGTGGTGGATAAGTGGGATAGTGGGCAAATAGAATAATAATATGAATTTTAGCACATGTTGCATTCTTTCAAAAGTAGATGTATCCTGCGGCTTCACCCAAGTGAATCAGTAAGTATATAAAGTATTCTATCTGCTAAGTTAGGAGACCAAATTTCATTTATCAAATCCATCTAGTAGTAAGTATTTGGGTATTTGGGTGAGAGAGTATCAAAAAAAATTTTATGCAACTTAAAATGGCAAACAAGCTGATGGCATACCTAATATTAAGTAGTAACCGTAGCCTATAGACATGAGTAGCACTATCAATATAACAGAGTATACTCGCTTTCGCCCATGATACCCCCCATGCGTTGCCATTCCTGAGTACTAAGCTGTTACGCCTCTGCGCCCTGAAAATTCATTGCCTTATTACACAGCCAAGCAAATATAACATTTATCCATATCATCTATCTATCGTAGAATCCATCCATCCAAGAGGGAGACTTTGTACAAAAGTAGATTGCTTGGGTACCTCTTTCCCATTCGTGTTTCAACCGTGAAGCAGTTGTGTTTATATGGCTGTTTGGGTTTGAAGGGTGGGATATGGCGTAAATTTACTGGGTACAGAGGAATAACACCTGAGTCCTCAGGAATGGCAACGCATGGGGGGTAGGTATTATGAGCGAAACAGTATACTTTGCTATGTCCATGGTACTGCTCATGTCTATAGGCGACGGTTACCACTTTCCATCAGATGGGCCGTCAGCTTGTTTGCCATTCTAAGTTGCATAAAAAAAATCGTTAGAAACTTCCACAAATATTATATTAATAGGACTGAAATATATAAAATCTAAAAAGTAAATGTATATAAAGAGGTCTGGCGTCAACACATAAGTATATACAATTTAGATAGGTTTCTAAAAAAATTACTAATTTGAAATGTGAAATATTTTAACAAACAATATGTCAGTCTACCTGTTCTTTTTTACTCTAAAATCTTCATACCTAAAAGTTTTTATATCATTCTTATTTTCGGAAATTTCTACGCTGTATCTACCACTTCGTGGAAATATAAACATGACGTTATAATGTATGATATGTGTTAGAATATTACAGTATCTTTACCGTACAAAGGTTTTCGAATTCATCATATAGTGCCGTGCCATAGATAAAACAACTCATTATCGAGTTATCTCCAGTCGGCAAGACGCGGCGACACGTCGACATAAAAGGCTTAGTTCAAGGGATTCGGGGCGGGGGTGAATGTTAAAGATTATTGTTTGGAGTTAGGGATGCTGAGGTAATTTAATTCTAAGACCTCTGTCTTAATGATGTCCAATGAACACGAGTTTATCGATATCGATAAACATAACAAGAGATGGAAGAAGAATTACGAAAGAGATTTATCGAGCAAGAATGAATGGAGATGTCGGTAGGGGCCGCCCTAGACGGACGTATGTCGACCAAATAGGCGATGTGCTGAAGAAGGGCCAAATTAAAAGTACCCGTAACCGGCGAGCGTGTATGAAAAGATTGATAAATGTGGAAGAAGCGAAAGAGGTTCGTTTGAATCGAAGCATTTGGCGTTCCATTGTTCCTGCCTACCCTAATGGGAGACAGGCGTGACAGATATGTATGTAAGTATGTAACAAGAGATTTTATATATTTTTTAAAGGCTTGGTAAATCAAACAAGAAGTATCGAAAGCAGTAATCGTTATCTATCGTTATCGTTATCATGAACAGAACACTGCAGATTCCATTGTCACGCCATTAGTGTTTGATATACAATATGTTACAAATTAATGGGATATCTCATGAGATTCTTGTTAACTATATTATAAAGAATTGAAATTGTTAATTTGCCATTCTTATACATACATATATGATAAAAATTGATAGCTGACATTTGTTATGGTACGCCATCACAATAAATAAATTTATCTAAATATATAATATATAAGAATATATATATATATATATATATATATATATATATATATATATATATATATATATATATATATATATATATATATATATATATATATATATATATATATATATATATAATATAATATAATATAAGAATATATATATATAATCGTAAAATATATATATATATATATATATATATATAGTTAATTTTTGAAGTAATGATGATGAATCTTTTTTTAATTTTTTCATATATTTTCTATAACAATTAATAAAAAAATACATCTATAAACAACAGAGATTTAAGAAACTGTAACTGTAGGTGTTTCTTGTAATTTCTTTTCAACAGATAAAAACTTTCATATACTGCGATAAAATCATAATAAAAAAAAAACTATTTATAAGTTCTTTTATATAATTTCACTTAAATAAAGTTTATTTTGAATTTCAATTTAATTTTATCGATACAATGTGTCACAGCACTATCAAAGGTGGTGTTTATTAATCCTATATGTTAAGATTTTAATTGCGGACATCAAGTGGCTTTTGTGTATGAATAAGTCGCGGCCGCGAGTGCGACTTTGTTTTGTGTACACGCTGCGCCTCATAATGGCGCGAGGTAAGCGCGTAATTTGTTTCGTTAATTTTGCATTCATATTTTGTTTATTCCATTTACAAAGCGGAGATGGAAATAGGTGCGGCAGAAATGTTTCAGCACTGACTGTACTTTTACAATGGAGAACATGACTAAATGTGAGAATAGTGACTTTCTTCACTAACTCACTGTGAGTTAGTGACGTAGTGTAACTAAATATATATTTTTTTTAGTGAACGTGAAATAATGACCTCCTGTGTTATCAGTGTGTGTTATAGGCCACTAGTGAGGGGATAAGTGAGGATGAAGCGGGTCAGTTGACCCATCGTGACGAAATCAATTGTGGACCGATTTGGAAAATTCTTTTTCTATTTGAAATACTATACTTTTGAGGTGTTCCTGTTTTAACGAAGGCAAGATCTGATAATGGAATTCCAGGAAAATTGAGGGCAAATTTTAATCATGTTAAAACGAACCTTCCAATTTTGTAGGTGTTTCATATATTTTTTATTTCGTAATGTGGTAAATAAATATATAAAAGGTAAATCATATACTCGTCATAATTATCCTTTTTTGTCAGTACTTTCTATCGTTTTTCTCCATTTTTAATTTTTTTTTTTATAAAAGTACTATTTGCAGGCGTCTATAGGCTACAGTGATCGTTTACCATCAGATAGACTGTATGCTAGTTTGCCACCTTTGTGGTATAAAAAAAAATTGGCAGTATATTATGTAATAATATGTAAAAGTTGTCAGTTCAACTGTATGTAAACAACAATATTAAAAATATGCTTTTTTCTATAATAAAAATGTTCCATAAAACCATTCTATGACATAAATACTCGGAACTGATCACTTATCACCCCAAGTCGTTTAAAAATATCACGGCATCAGCTATAAAACGCTAACGAAACGTACCTTACCCACCTTGGTGAGATTGCCAGATAAAAAAACACCCTGATTTATGGGAGTATTTTCCGATAAATAGTTGTCTTAGAGGCCACAAGGCCGCAGAGGCTCATTTTTCCAAAGGTGGATATTGCTTTTTTTGCTGATAAAGAGATGACGGATGAAGTAGGCGGAACTTGCTTTATGGGGGCGTGAATGGTAGATTTATGATATTTTAGTTTTTATAGGTACATTTAATTTAGTGATGGCATGTAAGGTTTGACTTTTCGGTTTCGTGACGTTGAATAAGAAATTTAATCATTATATCGGCCTTTAACTGTCCAATGCTGTACAAAATCCCCCATCAAGGG